TTTCCCTTTAAAAAAGAATAACTCTAACCATGTTACCTTTCCCCACCTCAGAACTTATTGTGATGCCTAGCTCTTTCTCAAATAAATAAAATTTAAATGTCTTTCACTTCTTTCTGTCACTCAAAAAGATGTTTTAGCCAATAAACTGATTATATTCAGCTTTCATTACATCTTTGCTTAAGAAACTTGAAAAGTTTGGCTATAGACAGAAGTAATCTGACAACTTTCAAATTACTGTGAAAAGAAAGCCTGGATGATTTTATTCTAATAAAAAATGTCCTTGAAATTGAATTATTGTCTTCAGCCTAGCTTAGGAGTTTTTGAGGGTCATAGAGTTGAGTTCACTAATCCTATAGCCATATCTCCAAAGAATATATAAGACTATACTTACAGTTTCTAATCTATTTTTAAAAACAAACGAACCTGTTTATGTGATATAGTTACACAAGGGCATCCAACCTGAACGCTGGTAACAGCCACGAGTTGGTCAGTACAGCTGTCCTGTCCCGACGTGTGTACAACCAGCACAGCACCTGTGTGAGTGACAGAGGTTTGGGCCTCACCTGTCTCTCCATTTTCCCAAGACGCTTCGTACGTAAATCTCCCACAGTACCACACACTGAGGAGCTCACTTCTCTGCATTTCATGTGGTAGGTGCGTGTGGAAACCCAGAGATTCATGCCCAGACTTGAAACAGACCTTTGCTGATTTTGCAGATGGGTGAAGACATCGAGGCGCACATGTTTGTTCCAGTTTCACTTCAGCACCTTCTGGATTTACAACTTTGCCCAGGTCTGTCATCATTGCAGGCAAGATCCTGTTGGTAGGTTTTCTTCATCCTTAATTTTCTGAAGCTGGAAAGGGAGGTGTCGGGGAGGTGGGTTGGCACATGACTTGTCTCAGCATCGGTGCTGAGCCGCGATCCAGAGAAGGGACCTGTATTCCCAGATCTGATGACAAATTCATGCTAACCAAAGCAGATGCTGAATCAGAGTGCATATTTATTAATTTATTCTAACCACAAGTGGGTTATTTGCAGGATAGCCTACGTCACTGTGGAGAGAGCTAAAGGAACCCTAAAAATTCTTTCCTCTCAGACTTTCCTTTTCAAATTCAGTGATAGATAAATGTTTATCTTCATTTCTGGTCTCACCTCTGTTACCCACTGCATCACTTATGGGTTCATTTCAGTCATAGACAATATCTTTGAAAAATAATGTATCTAAGTAATTTCAAAATTTTGAAAAAGTTGCAAGAGTAAGACACACAACTCTCATATCTCTTTCACCCAGATATCCCAATTATTAATATTTCAACACATTTGTGTTTTCTCTCTCTAAAAATAGAGGTAGATAGATCCATATACACATTCATTATTATTCCTTTTCTGAATATTTGAAAGCAAGTTTTCAACATGATGCCCATCAACCCCCTAAGTACATCAGAGCCTGTTTTCAAAAGGCAGTGCACTGTCCTACATGACCACAATGCAACATTGAAATCAGGAAGTTAGCATTGCTAGAACACTGCCATCCAATCCAGAGTCTCTATTCAAATTTCACCAACTATCCCAACAACATCTCTTTCCTTTCTGGTCTGAGATTCAATTAGGGTCACAGGTTATGGTTAGTTGTCATATCTCTTTAGTCACCTTCCGTCTGGACCAGCTCCCTGCTGATGTCTCCTCAGCCCCCAGCCCTACCACTGCCTCCAGGGAAGGGGAAGGAAGGGGAAAAGGAAACATGACAATACCTTTTTTGACTGTTATTTAATTTAAAGGTACTAAATTTTTTAAGCTATTCATTTAAGAGTTGTGCAATCTTTGTAAGTTATATCTCAATAAAAAACAAACAGAAGTAAACAGGTGAAAAAGTGTAACTAGTCGATAATTAATAAAGCATCTCAAATGAATGAAGATTTCCTNAAATAAATAAACAAATAGAACTACATCAAACTAAAAAGTTTTTGGATGGCTTTCATTGACTGATTTCCAATTGTCAAAGAGGCATAAACAGATTTGGTTTTAGAATACAGCATTAGCTATTGGAAGGGGCCTGATGAGGCTGGAGACAATAGCAAAAATCCAAGGAGAAGATTACAAGAGCCCAAACCAAGGCGGTGAGTAGAGCTGGGACCAAGATGAGTAGGATGAACTGAGAGATATTCAGGGTTTAGGGATCTTTTGCATGTGGGAGGTGGGGGGGGGGCAACCAGAGGAAGAACCAATTCTAGAATGCAGGAGGAGAGTAATCACTCTGGTAAGTGGTGGAGTGAAAAGAAAGGAGGGCCAAGCTGGAACTTTGAGGAACAGCTGTGTTGAGGATGGGTGTGGGCGAAGGGCGAGTTCATGAAGATGGGAATGGAAGCTGTCAGGAGGGATCCAGGTCTGGAGACTAGCAACTCAAGGAGAGCAGGGGAAAGGGGCCTGGGAACAGCACCCCATGACAAGGAAAGGTCTGGTGGGACGTCAGGAAATTTTAGACCCATTACAGGGGAAGGGGAGAATGAATGGGAGAAGTGGATCCCTGGAAGAATGGAGAGGGGCTGAGAGGCAGTAACTTGAGTGGAGGAAGAGGCTGGGGATGAGGGAATGGAGCAGATAACAAAGGAGCACTGGATGTGGAGGAGGAAACGGTGAGAACCCAGAACTCCAGACAGAGTAGCCATGGGTGTGCGGGAGAAAGGCAGACATTTTGTGCTCAGTTTGAGAATTAAACATTATTTGGGGAACAGAGAAAGGATCATTCAGATCTCTGCCCTGAAGAGTGAGACTTGAAAACTGACTGGATTATAGGAAAATCAAAGATAGAATGCTACTCCAGATTTTGATATTTTGGGATAAGAGTTAAGGATGAGAGGTAAGAAATTTGGAGTTGAGAACTGAATTTTTTTCACCTGGGAAACAGGGAAGGAAGTGATCAGTTCAAAGCTCAGGAAAACAAAATAGTA